TGTGGTTTGGCCATGCTATCATACTCACAACACACTCTATGCCCTTCTTTGACAATACTTGTTCTTTCTGGTTATTTTTTTCTGGGTTTGGAGAAAAAACTCCTGCTGCTACAAGTGAAGTAACAACAAGACATATAGCCACAAAATTCATCATTTTGTTTCTCTCTCAATGGATCAAGTTTGTAGTAGTTGAAGGTTATAATGGGGATAGTTTTAAAGGTTGGATTTGGCGGTGTAGCTAGAAAATGCCCCAGGTAGCTGTTAAGTGACAAGCGTTTTATTTGTCACCACGTGGTGCTGTACGTGGCTGCATTTAAGCGCATGGCAAGGGCTTTATGGGTCTAGAAGTTGAGGAGAGTCTTACAGGATAAACATGTCGAGAATGGTTTAAAAAAGAAGAGTAAATTAAAGCTTATAGATCCATACAAATTTTGTTTAGAAAGGTTTCAGTGAGGTTATTAAGTGTTATATAAGTGTTGTTAGTGTGTTAAGAATGTCATGATACTATCAAGTATGTCTGGTTTTCGGTTTGCTCTTATGATATTTATAGAGTCTTGGCTCTGCCGATTAACTTATGGGAAAATCTAGGTGGCCACAAGCTATTAAGAATTTGCATATATTATAATTAAATGAATGATAAAGGATTAGAGGTTTTAAGTTTGATTACTAAATTTCTATAAGTTGTCAATGAGAGATTAATCGTATAATTTATAATCTGATGATAGTTGATGTACAATGAGGAGATTTAACGATATCAACTTTAGAATCTCTTGATTAGTTGAGATGTCCAAACTGACCGACGTCACTAAAAAAAAAAAAAAAAAAATTGAAAAAGTTTAGTTTTAAGGATTAATTAAGAGTGAGTATATTCAAATTAAAGGAAACAAAAACAATTAGGTCAAAGAATTGGACAAAGATGAACTGTGACTTCATCGAGCAGAAACGAGTGGTCGTATAAGCCTAGATTGCGTTCATGTAGTGACCAACGTGGCTGAACTCACGACCACCATGACCCAGCAGTGGGGTTTTTGCTGCCTATTTGTCGGTCACCACCAAATCTCATCCTACTCATTGAGCACCCACCACGTCCTAGCAAAGATTGACCAACACACAAGACAACAATTCCTTTGTTTCAATTTTGTTTATCAATTACTAAGATTGTGGGTTTGATACACTTGAGTTGGTACCTAGCCATAAGAGGAGGAGAGAAGAAGAAATTAATTTAAAAATTATAAATAAATTTGAAATATAAAGGAAATTTTTAATTAATTTAACCCATTCCAAATTTTAGTGCTTGAGGCATCTCTCAACATTAAGTGATACCATTGTTGTTGTATTTAGATATTCTCGGGTACGTTGGTTCAGTATTTTGGATAGGATTTTGGGGATGGATGGGATAGTTGGATAGGGTTAGATTACGAGAATATAATTTTTAGAATATGTATTTGGTTGATTTATTTGACCTTGATATTTGTGTTTGAATTATTGATTATATATTTTTTTATAAATGATTTATTAATATATATTTTGTTGAATTTTGTTAAAATAATGTATTATTATATATAACTTATCAGTTCATTTTAATAATACTAAATATTTTATTGGTAATTTTGTCACCCGTAGATATTAAGAAACAAAAACCCATATTAATTTCAAGTACTAATTCAACTGTTTAAAACATCATATTCATACATATATGACAAAAGTACATTAATAACCCTTACAATCATTCTTACACATATACCTCCATTAACAACTACGACATGGTCCACTGTGCTGCCCACAGTGCATTCGTTTGTTTATCCCGTATAGTCATCATGTTGTCTATAATACCTTGTTGCGGTAGACTCGGTCCTTCTCCATTTCGCCATATTCTGTCCCGTTTGACGATCACAATTATTTGCTCATTACCTGTATTATTATTGGTTTTTTTCGAAGATACGGTCGTCCATATTGTGCATTCTGATAAAATTATGATTACAACAGCCATAACAATCTTCCCTTGTTTGTCCAACGGGTAATTGTCATCTTCCATTCAGAAAAGGAACCGTCTTTTCAAACACACCAAAGGTTCTCTCAACAACATTGCGGATTGAAGAATTGTCTGTAGTTAAACAACTCTTGCGGCCCTCTTCGGTTACGACAGTGATCAGAAATATGGTAAGCCACTTGCCTATGGGGGCGGGAACCCGTCTCTATTTGGATAACCCGCTCACCAAATATTATTCCCTGTAATAATATCAGACTTTATTTTTGAATTACAGGGCCTCAACAGTGGAGCAATACGCTATAATACGTCAAGAAAATACTTATACCTGGTGGGATGTGGAATCCAGAATTAGGATCATCAAGAATTGAATTTAAAACTCTTGAATCATGCGCAGATCCTTCCATCCAGTAACGACATACGTGAACATCATATTAAAGTCGCATACAGCCATTACATTCTGTGTCTTCGTTCCTTTGCGATCCGTACCTATTGGCAATTCACGTGGAACCGAAGCATATATTGTGTGCCATCCATGGCTCCAATACAGTCCTATCATGAAAATTGAATTTTACTCATATTAACCGACTATAAAATTATAACACAACGAACTTAACTATCTACTATAGAAAACATAATGAACTAGTACCTTAAAGAAAGGGTAATATTTTCTGTTGGCTGATATTTTCCATGGAACATCATTGAAGTCAGGTGGGTCTGATAAACTCTGTCTTCAACTCACATATAGTGTCGCAAATTGCGGCAACATGTCTAGAGATCGTCTCACCCGAATGTTGGAAATCCTCCATCTTGTTCTGATTGTCTCGTTTTTTTCCAACGATGTTAGAAATATCATAACTTGTTCTTTCCAAACTCGTATTCCTGGTTGGTTGCAATTTGCCTTGATCGGAACAAAATTTCACATAAGTATGTAAAACATCTTTGTCCATGCGGCACTTGTCATAGATCTTGTCAGGATGAACATTGATACTTCCAACAGTGTACTCATGACCGGTTAATATGGATGTATGTCGTGGTTCAGGCCTACTTGCTTCTAACGCGGCACACCGCAGAGTGCATGGCTATATCTGTTAGTATTTCTTCTTCGTCCCTCTCATCTGTAGCATGTCGTCTTCTTCCTGTACGGCTAGACGACGTCATTTAAACCTACACATTTTCAAAACATTATCAACAATTAACAGTTGTTGTACTACTTAGCAAAATATACAGCGAATGTTTAAATTCTAATGACATCCAAAACGGTGTTTAAACATGTAATATCACCTAAAACACCACAATTATAAGTTATACTACAGTAGCGTTATAAATTGTAATTGTAATGACAACAGCCCACTGACGCATCCAAAATTGTTGCCAAACACTTAGGAAATATAGTGTCATCTACTTATTGGAAAATTTGTTATAAATCCGTTAGCCTTTTCCTCAAGCGGGAGTTTCACGAATATCCCCGCCACCTTGGATTTTCATATAATACTCGACAACCGGCAGGTAAAACTGTGTCGGTACTTGCATGGCCGTCAAATGTCAATACATTGCTCATGGAAAAAGGATCAGATGGAGCACTGGTGTTCTCCTCTTTCCTTCTCATCTGGCACTGCAATTGCTACCCTCGATCCCATAGTCCACTTCTCCGCAAGCTCGTCCGTCAAGCTAAAATGGCATCCGCAAGTGATTGTCCTCGGCTGCTTCTGTTCCTCCTATTTCTCGCTCTTCTATGGCCAATGTGTTTGTCGTTTTTCCCCTGTCGTCCGATCAGGATCAGGTTCAAAGTCGCTACCATCCATGGGAACCGCGTCAGGATTGGAATAACTGGAGGTCTCCACTAGTTGGGATGTAGATGTGTACGCATATCTTCCAATGCAGTTTTAAGGTTGGAAAAAAAGCTGGAGAACAGAGCCAAATAGGTCATAGAGAGAGAAGCCTTTTCCCAGCTCCAGTGATGCAGAACCAATGAATTGCTCCACTAAAGTAAAAAGCTTGACTTCCAGAATAATTTGTTTGCCAACATTAGCTCCGGGGACAGTGATAAAAAACTTCAGAGTCTGCGCAATTGTCATACAACAATTAAGCTGTTCTCCGATGTGGAAAAGAGAGAAAAATCATAAGTGAAATGGAAGCAGCAAAATGGATCATTGAGAGGTTATGGATGCTGATATGAAGATTTAAATCTGAGAGTGTCCAGCAGTCTACAAGACTATGGCAGAAATGAAAGGCTTCAAAAGGCAAGTCTAAAAGCACTTACAAAGACATGGCAACCAGCCTGAAGGTAATGAGTCAATTGTTTTAACTCAGCCTACAAGTTAAATGGTTCCATTATTCCTTTTTTCTAAATTTGCATCGACTCTTTAGTATTTCTCTTGAATAACTGACCAATAGGTAATATTTTTTCAGATATGCAACCCATGTTTCTAATTTCTAAACCACTTGATGCTGATGTCTTACATCAAGATGGGATTGATAGATTTTTAATATGGCTAATCTTTTCCTTTATAAGGTTGGGATCATTCATACATATTTACTGCCAATATAAAAAGAGGAGTTGATGTCATTTCTTCAGCTCAAAGTGAAATATAGTGACTTTACAGGAGCCGACATATTTCAGCTATTCCTTCCAGATTTCATGCACTTCCTTTTGAAGTTGACAAGATAGCTGGAGCCAGTGGGTGGGGTTTAAGTTTGGACATCAGGCTAGGACTCTTCAGCAGAGTACTCTTTTGGTTGCAAAATGACATGAAACTGAATTTTTTTTTCTCAAGTTTTAGTACTGATGGTATGATTAATAAAACCCTTGAAACAATCGTAACAAAAGGTTATTTCAATAAAGTTATTTGGAGTAGTAACCTTCGCTTTCTGGAAGAGAAGTTTTAGCTACATATTGGCTAATCAACATGTTGATGATTTATGAAGAAGGTAGGTGCTGATGCACAAGCCATAGCAAAAAGCAGCTTTTATCTCTTGGTATACACAATATACAACACCTGGAAGTGGGGTATGCTACTAATCTCTTGTTTGTTACAGTGATTTGCAAAACAATCTTTTTTCATCAATACACAACGCTCACGAAATGCTATCCAACATAACCATCTATCCTCCTACCTACAACAACCTGCATACATTAAATTTAGCTTCTGAAAAAACCAACTTTACCAAAACTTTTATCACTTTCCAAGCATCATAAAACCATATTCACATCAGCATATTTTAGAGCATCTAACAAATCTTTTGCAGGCCCTGACCCAGATAAACTAGGTGCCAACTCAGAGACATCAGGGTCAGTATGTTGAGGATGGAAGAGCATGTATTTAAATTCTTCAGCCTCTCGCTCAATCTACTGATTTTTGACCGCACCTGCTCTTGTCCTGTACTCTGTGTAACTGCTGTAGGAGCTTCCCCTGTGGTGGTGGTCGTGGCTGTGGCTGTAGGATCAGTCATCCTGGGGCGCTCACGCTCAGTTGCCCAGCTAGTGTCAGTTAATATGCTCTCTCGTCCTCGTCCTTCTTCTTTCTCAGCTTTCATCCTCTCAAACATCACCTGCTCATACAATCAATTTAAACAATGGAAGGAAAGTACTTATCAAATACAAATAGCATTTACATATGAAATTCACCAGGAATTCTTGCAGTGAGAAGTTTGAAAATAAGAGATTTAGGAAACAGAAATGGTCCAAATTTTTTACGTTAAGAGGATAGTGTAGTTTGATTAGCTCTATTGCGGCAAGAGGTTTAGGAATCACTTTCACTCTTTAGCCTTGCTGAAGAGGATCCATTGGCCTAGATGAATATAATTTAAGTTTGAGGAAAAGAATGGTGGGTAGAGTGTATGTGCATGTGAAAATACATATCCTAAATGAAAAAAACTTGAAGAATAAAATTGACTCTTGTCCATAAATAAGGAGAATGCAATTAGTTTACCTTAGTGGCTCGAGGCTCCATGTACATTGAATTGACAAAAACCATCAAAATGGATGCCAAAAGATTAAATCCCTGAAATATCTCTACCTTGCCTCCTGCAAACAACCGTGGCATATGTCCCAACAAAGCCAACACAATACTACAAGCCATGCCCCTGAAATAAACTGGATATATCTTGCTTTGCACCATCCCAAATTGCTGCCTTGGCAAAGCCTCAGCCAAAACATAACTTGAAACAAACGAAACCCAAACACACATCCCATAGGCTATTGCAAATCCAAGCAAATTCAGCACTCCCATAAGACCACCAAATGTTTCACGATGAACAAATCTATCAAAGAAGTTGTGTGCACCAGTTTTTACCCTTTCTGCTGCATGTTTAGTGCCTTCTTTGGCTTCTTTTGCCTTCTCCTTTACACTATCACGAACACTAGCAACTTGCTCTGATACGTTCCTTCCGATATCACCCCTGATCGCATTCCCCAAATCTTTTGTTTCTTTGATAGTGCCTTTAGCTTTTGCCACCGGCTTTTCCGCGGCTTCCTTCACATCTTGAGCCGTTTGTGACATTCCCTCTTTGGCTTTACCGTATGTTTTCTGTACAGCCTCTTTTACCCCATGGGCCTTCTCTGAAAACCCTTCTTTTGCTTTACCAAATGCATCTTGTACAGCCGCTTTGGCCTCATGAGCTATCTCTTTATTCTGAGCAATGGCGTCATGAGCCGCCTCCGACACCTTATCTTTCGCCTCAGTTGCCTTCTCTTTCTCGAAAGCAATCGTCCCATGCGCCACTTCTGATGCCTTCTCCTTGGCTTCATTTGCCTTCTCTTTATCATGCATTGCAGCTTCTTTTACTTTGTCCTTAGCTTTCCCAATTGCACTCGCAATCTTGTGCTTGCAATTCCCATAAGCATCACACAAAAGCTCTGCAGGACCATGACCGTGACCTTCACCAAAAGAAGGTTTTGAGCCTGAAAGTTCTTGGCCAAGATCTGAAGAAGCTTCTTTGATCTTACCCTTAGCATTGTTGTAAGCATCAGAAGCAGCAGAAGATATCTTCTCTTCAACATCTGAAGCTGAACCCGAACCGGGCTTCTTGATGTAATATTCATTTTCTGGTGAAATGAAAACTTTGGTGTTGGGTTGGCCATGCTCATCATACTCTACAACAACAACTCTATGCCCTTCTTTGACAATAACTTGTTCTTTCTGGTTATTTTTTTCTGGGTTTGGAGAAAAAACTCCTGCTGCTACAAGTGAAGTAACAACAAGACATATAGCCACAAAATTCATCATTTTGTTTCTCTCTCAATGGAATCAAAGTTTGCAGTAGTTGAAGGTTGAATAATTGGGAGTAGTTTTAAGGATGTTGGATTTGGCGGTGTAGCATAGAAAATGCCCCAGGTAGCATGTTAAGTGACAAGCGTTTTAGTTTGTCACCACGTGGTGCTGTACGTGGCTGCATTTAAGGCCATGGCAAGGGCTTTATTGGTCTAGAAGTTGAGGAAGAGTCTTACAGGATAAACATGTCGAGAATGGTTTAAAAGAAAGAGTAAATTAAAGCTTTTTATGAATTCCATACAAATTTTGGTTTAGAAAGGTTTCAGTGAGGTTATTAAGTGTTTATATAAGTGTTGTTAGTGTGAAGAATGTCATGATACTATCAAGTATGTCTGTTTTCGGTTTGCTCTTATGATATTTATAGAGTCTTGGCTCTGCCGATTAACTTATTGGGAAAATCTAGGTGGTACCACAAGCTATTAAGAATTTGACATATATTATAATTAAATGATATGATAAAGGATTAAGAGGTTTTAAGTTTGATTTACTTAAATTTCTAATAAGAGTGGTCAATGAGGAGATTTAATCGACTATCAACTTTAGAATCTCGATTGATTAGTTGAGATGTACAAATGAGGAGATTTAATCGACTATCAACTTTAGAATCTCAATTGATTAGTTGAGATGTACACAAACTGACTCGGGTATCCTGTCACTATAAAAAAAAAAAGGAAAAAAATTGAAGCAAAGTTTAGTTTTAAGGATTAAATTAAAGAGTGAGTATATTCAAATTAAAAGGAAACAAAAAACAATTAGGTCAAAGAATTGGACAACAGATGACTGGGTGACTTTATCGTAGGCAGAAACGAGTGGTCGTATAAAGCCTAGTATTGCGTCTCATGCTAGTGACACAACGTGGCTGAACTCTACGACCACCGATGACCCAGCAGTGGTGGGGTTTTGCTGCCTATTTTGTCGGTCACCACCAAATCTCATCCTACCGTCATTGAGCACCCACCACCACTACAATCCTAGCAAAGATTGAACAACACGACAAGACAAACAATTCCTTTGTTTCAATTTTGTTTATCAATTACTAAGATTGTTGGGTTTGATTACACTTGAGTTGGTACCTAGAGAACCAGTAAAAGAAGGGCATAGGAGAGAAGGGAAAGAAATTAATTTAAAAATTATAAAATAAATATTGAAATAGTAAAGGAAATTTTTAATTAAGTTAACCCATTCCAAATTTTTAGTTGCTTGAGGCATCATCTCAACATTTAAGTGATACCATTGTTGTTGTATTATAGATATTCTCGGGTACGTTTGGTTCAGTATTTTGGATAGGATTTTGGGGATAGGATTGGATAGTTGGATAGGGTTATGATTACGAGAATATAATTTTTAGAATATGTATTTGGTTGAGTATTTTGACCTTGATATTTGTGTTGAATATTTGATTAATATATTTTTTTATAAATGATTTATTAATATAATATTTTGTTGAATTTTGTTAAAATAATGTATTATTATATATATAACTTATCAAGTTACATTTTAATAATACTAAATATTTTATTGGTAATTTTGTCACCCGTAGATATTAAGAAACAAAAACCCATATTAATTTCAAGTACTAATTCAACTGTTTAAAAACATCATATTCATACATATATGACAAAAGTACTAATTATCAACCCTTACAATCATTCTTACACATATACTCCATTAACAACTACGACATGGTCCACTGTGCTGCCCACAGTGCATTCGTTATGTTATCCCGTATAGTCGTCATGTTGTNAAAAAAAAAAAAAAAAAAAAAAAAAAAAAAGAAGATATTTTTAGGCTGTAAGAGAAGAGAGAAACTGGTAAATGATCAACAATACTGGATGTACAAAGAAATTTTATAAAAATTTATGTACAAAGTGATGTGACAAAAAATGAATGGAAGATTAAATATGATGAGTTTGACTTTTTGTGTTCACTCTTCTATTTATTTCTTATTATATCACTTTGTACATAAATCTTTGTAAAATTTCTTTATACCTATAGCATTACTCGGTAAATGATACATTTTTTTCATATAAAAGTTGTCCGGTTGGGTACATCGGGTAAAGATCTTTGTTTTGCCACAATTTAACTTGCTAATGCTTCGTTGATGGACGTTAGTCGCTTGAGACTAAAATCGCCGCCCAGAGGGAACTTCGAGTTGATTAGGTTATTTATCAAATTAGTTTAAAATGGAATATATTATATTATTTATTTATTTATCACTTTTGGTATTTTAATATACATATTATGTAGTATTATTCAAGTTCCTCTGTACCAGTCATAAATCATTTAAATTCAATCTCTAAAATTAAATAAAAAAATATGATTCAATCTATATGGATATCAGTGAAACAAATTCACTTGTAACCATCCCTCGACTTTAGTTAGTTTTCATAGTGGTTGGTTTATCTGGCTATTGTTGAGAGCGAAGACAATTGTCTTCGTGATAAAAAAATAAAAATAAATAACTATTTTATAATTTACATACACTTCAACTAATTTTTGGAGTCTATTGAACATCCTACCAACTATATATTTTGAAGTAAATAACAAATGTGATAAGTGACTTCAACACAAGAAGTTAATAAATGAAACAAATCTTCTTAACCACTGAATTAACCTTTTGTAGTTAAAAATAATTTAATTGAATGTAATGTTCATCTTATTAATTTACCCAAAATAATGTAGAAAAATTAAATATAAGATTTTGGACACTGTCATGAGGCTGGTGGTGACATGAACGGATCCTGAACCGATAATTCACTCAAAGATTCTGACTCTATAGGTTTAAGTAGGGGTGAGCGGTTCCGGGTACCCTCCATTTTCCAGGGGAACCGGAACCGGAACCGCACAATATAGGTTCCCAAAAAAAGGAACCGGAACCAGAACCGCATAGTGCATGTTCTTCAATTCAAGGAACCGGAACCTAAAATGCAGGTTCAGGTTCCTTTCCGGGGTACCCTATAAAAAATCAATTACCCCCCTGTTAGTTTAAAAAATGACAGAAATACCTTAAAAGTTTACAAACACACCCCTAACAAATATACTATTTGGGTTTAGGGTTTAATTATAATGTAATATTATAGTTAATTAAATTGTTAATCATTTAATTAAGTATTGTAATATTGTTTATAATAGAATGTTATAATTAATTAAGTAATCATACCATAAATTTATAATGTAATGTTATAATTAATAAAATTCTAATCATTTAATTAAGTATTGTGTAAATTAGTAAATTAATTACTAATGTTTATAATATAATGTCATAATCAATTAAGTAATCATTTAATTATGTAATGTTATATTAATTATATGATCATACTATAATAGTAATAATTAAATTGTTTATAGCAGAATTAAGTAATCATACTATAATCTATAATTTAATATTATAATTAATTAAATTTCAAATCATTTAATTAATGTACTAATGTTTATAATGGAATGTTATAATTGATTAAGTAATCATATTATAATATACAAGGTAATGTTATAATTAATTAAAGTTTTAATCATTTACTTAAATAATGTAATAATATAGTAAATTACTAATGTTTATAATATAATTTTAAATTCTAACTAATTATGTAATCATTTAACTATGTAATGCTATAATTAATAAGTATCATATATAATGTATATAATAATTTTATAATTTAATTGGTAATTATTTAATTAATGTAATGCTTAATTAATGTTTATAGGAATTTTTATAAGGTAATATTATAATTAATTAAATTTCTAATCATTTAATTAAGTATTGTGCTAATGTTTATGAAGTAAATTAGTAATTACTAATGTTTAAAACATAATATCATAACTCATAATTAATTAGTAATCATTTAATTATGTAATGTTATAATTAATTATGTGATTATATTATAATGTTAGTTTATAGTAATTAGTATCGATTATAGATCTTTAATTAATTATAATTAATTAAATTTAAATCATTTAATTAAGTAATGTAATAATATAATGTAGTAAATTACTAATGTTTATAATGTGATGTTAAATTTATAACTAATTAAGTAATCATTAAATTAATGTAATCTATATTAATTAGTATCATATATAATGTAATGTATAATGTTATATTAATAAGTATTATTTGTTTATATGTAATGTATAATTAATGTTTATATATAATGTCATAATCATTAAATAATCATCTAATTATGTAATGTTATAATTAATTATGTAATCAACTATCATACTATAATGAAATAGTGAAATGTTACAATGAATTAAGTAATCATGCTATAAGTCTTTAATATAATATTATAATTAATTTGTTTATAATAAAATATTATAATTAATTAAGTAATCATTTAATTATAATATAAGTTACAATTAATTACATAATCGTACTATAAATTTATAATGTAATGTTGTAATTAATTAATTTCTAATCATTTAATTAAGTATTATACTAATGTTTATGTAGTAAATTAGTAATTACTAATATTTATAATTAATATCATAATCAATTAAGTAATCATTTAATTATGTAATGTTATAATTAATTATATAATCATACATATATATGTTATAGTGAATTAACTATTAAGTAATCATACTATATTTTTAATGTAATATTAATTAATTAAATTTTTAATCATTTAATTAAGTTTGTATTAATGTTTATAATAAAATGTTATAATTGACTAAGTAATTATACATAAATCTATAATGTAATGCTATAATTAATTAAATTTTTAATTATTAATTAAGTAATATACTAAATGTTATAACTTATAAGTCATTAATTAAGTAATATATATTATAATTAATTATACTATAATCAATTAAGTATGTTATAAAATTATAATTAATTAAGTAATCATTTAACTATAATGTAATGTTATAATTGATTAAGTATGATATTTAACTAGTAATAAATTTTATAATGTTTATCAATTATCATATATAATTAATTAATTACTAATTTATTATAGTATACTTAGAACTTGATAAT